CCTTGAGGGCAGGGACTGTCTTTTGCCTCTTTTTGTATCCCCAGGACATAGCACAATGCCTGGAACATGGTAGGCGCTCAATAAATGTTTGATTGATTGACAGGTAAAATGATGGGGTTGGACTAAATTATCTTTAAGGTCCTTTCCCATTATAAATTCTACAATCCTAAACACATGGTCTGCATACACATAATAGTTACAAATAGCTCTTCCTTCTTTTCTGAGCAGCTAATTAAGAGCTTTATCCTCATGGCATTCTCCTTCTTGATCACTATTGGAAAGACTGGAAGGTATAACAGGAGCAAAACCTCAAGGAATTTTCTTGGAATCACAGAACTTTAGAGCTGGAAGGAACCTTAGTTTAACTCCTCACTTTAAAATAGAGAAACCAAGGCCCAGAATCTCACAGCTAATAGGCAGTTGAGCTGGCACCTGAATTCAAATCTTCTGGCTTCAGGGCTTTTTTTTTTTTTTTCTAGGAGTGACTTGCCCAGGGTTACACAGCTACTAAGTGTCTGAGGCTGGATTTGAACTCAGGTCTTCCTGACTCCAGGGCCAGTGCTGTATCCACTGCGCCACCTAGCTGCCCATTATTCTTTCTACTACTATTGACCACGTGGCCAGGGTAACACATTTGAAATTTATCCTTATGGCTACAGACTCCAGGGAGCTATAACAGCAAAGCCCGCCTGGTTATCAAAGGTTAACCGGCATCCTGCCTTGTGACTGCTGATGTCCCGCCCCCCCCTTCAGTTGGTACAATGAAACGCCTATTTTTTAAAGTAATTCCTCTAGAATCGAACTCTGAGCTTGTCTCCCCTAGAAGATTTTAAGTTCCTCGAGGGGAGGGACTATCTTTTGCTTCTTTTTGTATCCCTAGCACTTAGCACAGTGCCTGGCACACAGTAGGCATTTTGCTGTTGTTTAGTCATGTCTGACTCTTCCTAACCCTGTGGACCATAGCACACCAGTGCTGTCCATGGGGTTTTCTTGGCAAAGATATTGGCGTGGTTTGCCATTCTCCAGTAGATTAAGGCAAACAGAGGTTAAATGACTTGCCCAGGGTCACACAGCTACTAAGTGTCTGAGGTCACATTTGAACTCAGATCTTCCTGAATCTAGGCTCAGTGCTCCACCAAGCCCCTAGCAGCTTCTAGAAGGTGCTGAATAAATGTTTATTGACTGGCCGTGCCAAGTGTTATAGTATCCTAAGTTCAGAAACCTAGATTTGGAAGGTACCCAAAAGAAGTGGTTTGCTGGAGTCAGTTCCAACTAGCTTCTAAAAACAAATTGTTCAATTTTCAGTGTGAGCATTTACACCTCACAAATTGGTGAATGCTACAAATCCAGGCTTAATTTATTGTTTTGTTGATTGTTTAGGCTTAAGAAAGTGATGGAGAAAATGTTAAAAATGTAAATTCAACTTAAATTGTCACACATATTTTTTTTTGAGAGCAAATTATAAACCTTTACCAGTACAAACCTGCCCAAGAGACTATCTAGCCCAACACCCTCACTTTACAGCTGAGGAAAACTGAGGCCCAGAGATGTTAAGTAAGTTGCTCTAGGTCACACAGGGAGTCTGAGGTAGGATTTGAACCCATCTCCTGATGCCAAAGCTAATGCTCTTTTCACTGTATCACGTCTTATTAATGCACCTTTCTCTTATCATTCTTCTCCATTACAACTTCTCCACAGCCTATATATATTTGTTATAAAAACATATTTATATAATACTAATAATATATAACAATATACCTATTCAGGTAGATTACATTTTCATCATTTACTCCCTAGTATCTAAAAACTATAAATATGTCGAATATCTGGATGATTCTAAACCCAAGGTCTGTGAATTACTTAAAAAAATTTTTGATAGCAATTTCAATATAACTAGTTTCCTTTGTAATCTTATGTATTTTACTTTATTACTTTAAAAACATTATTACAAGAATTTGCCAAAATGCCAAAGGATGGCATGACACAAAAACAGTTAAGAATCCCTGCTCTAGACAAATAAAAGATGATAAAGACATTACCCCAACGTCAAAGGAACATACCCTTTGAGAGTTAGTCCTAAATACCATGAGCAAACTAGACAATTGTTTCACAAAAGTTTGGTGACGTATAAAATAGATTTTAAGAACTTTTAAAAATAATGTTTGAATGTCACAGTTGTTTAAACACAGCCACCTACGCAACAGCCTACCTATGTATTTTGGGTGAAACGGTCCAGTTCATTAACCACAGTAAGCCTTTGTGAGGCACCTTGTATAAGCAGTGTCACATGAGAAAGGGTTCAATTCTGCTGGATAACTGCACACCTCAGTGGTGGTGTGAGGAATGAGACCAAGAGCTTCAACCACCTGTGAAGGGTGGAGGTGGAGATCTCTATTTCAAAAGGTCCTTTGAGCCCTCTACTAATATCAAAAAGGTCCCTTATTAACACTATTACCTATGGCTTTTTGTAGGGATGTGGGGGTTGGCCTATAATGAGTCATATTGGGAGAATAAAAATAATGGCCCCCCAACCGCCAGCACACCAAACACACAATACATTAACACACATACAAAATCACACATATTTTATTTTAATTATCCAACTTTCATAGTAATCAAAGTAAATTTGTTCAAGTAAAGGTAACAATAAAAATGTTCTCTGAAAGAATGTTTAAAATTTTTTTTTTAATTTCAGAGCTTCAAAAGTGTAAACCCTGTCATAATAGTTATCCATTTAACTAGTCCCCCAGAAACTAATGAGCTTTCCCTCTACCCTCTCAAACCCATTCCTCTGTCTTCCTCCCCTTTCCCAGAGTTTCAGGTGATGTTATGGGACGAGATAGACTGAGGGAAGGTGAGATGAGGAGGGTCCCTATGTGGTACTACTCCAAATATTACCAATTATTATAATACAGTCCAATTACTTAGACTAGCCACATTACCTGAATATTCTGAACTGCACCATAAACTCCCACCAACATGTGTGTCCACGATTGTTTCAGGCACAGGAGATATATTCAAAATACTACCAGAAAATATATTTGTAGAAAAGATCACCTGGTCTCACCTTGTGTCTAAAACTAAGATGATGACTCCAATGGTTCTGTGCCTGTGCACACTGACAAATGGTCATTAAAATAGATTGTATTGATTATGTCAGAAGACAAAATACTTGCTTTGGTTTACTGATAAAAGGCTACCACATGAAAGAGTGGACTGAGTGTATGTGTGTGTGACATAAGCTAATTTGCCTAATTACAAGTTGTGTGATGATTTACATGAACTGATGCAAAGTGAAATGAGCAGAACCAGAAGAACACTGTACACAGTAACAGCAATATTGTATGATAATCTACTATGAGTAACTTGGCTATTCTCAGCAATACAATGATCCAAGATAATTCTGAAGGACTTATGATGAAAAATGCTATCCACCTCCAGAGAAAAAACTGATGGAGTCTGAATGCAGATCGAAGCATACTTTTTCTTTACTTCATTTTTCTTGCCTTTTTTTTTGGTCTGTTTTCTTTCACAACATGAGTAACATGGAAATATGTTTCGCATGACTGCACATGTATAACCTATATCAAATTGCTTGCCTTCTCAATAAAAGAAGGGAGGGGAAGGAGAGAAGGAGGGAGGGAGAAAACTTAAAACTCAACATTTTAAAAAACAAATGTTAAAAATTGTTTTTACATGTCATTGGGGAAAATATAAAATATTAAATCATCAAAAAAAACCCAAAGATTTTGGAGAAAGAAACATTCAATTTTGCTGAAGAAATATCATTTAAAAATTCATTTCTGCATTAGTCCCCAGTTCTGGGTCCTATGTCATTACCCACTGAGAGCAAAACTTTACCCTGACTTGGCTCAGTGATGCAACACAGCTTTAATTTTCCCCACCCCACTCCTGCCTTTTGTCCTTCCTTCCAGATAAGATGATTCCCTAAGAATGCTTAAGAAAATGTTAGTGAATTTTAGAACAGAAAAGGTCGAGGGCAAATACTACAAGGGAATTAATGCTACAATATGAGTGCTATTGGACCATTAGCCTGCGGACAATTTTTTCAGTTCCAGGCTTCTTCCCCTTCACTATAAAAATATTGTCATTTATTTCTCTTCCTCTCTGACTGAATGTCATAAAATCAAAAACAAACCCATGGATCCATGAGGTGTTGCTACAAAAATAGGATGTAGTAAGGACCAGACAGACCTGTGATTTCATTGGCACAGGGAATTCCCATGTGAGGAAGATTCCTCTATCAAGGCAAAATGACACCTTCAGTCTTAGTGAGTTCCCTGGGGCCCTGAGAGGTTAAGTCACATGTCAAGGGTCACACAACCAGCATGTGGGAAAGATAGGATGGACCCAAGATCTTCTAGAGAGGCTAGCTCTCTACCCATTTTGCCATACTTTCTCAAAAACAACAACAACAACAAAACACCCTAATAAATGATTTGATATTAGATATTAGATATTATTAAATATTAGAAGGTAAACATGCTCAAACATTATTAATCGAATATTGCCATTCAAGTAAAATATGAAAAGTAACCCTAATATCATGAAATTACATTCCATGAAAATATTATCAAAACAGGAAAAAAAATAGGAAAATGTGTTTTCCTTTATCAAAGTTGTCAAGCTTTATCCAACACACCTAAAACAAACCAGAAAAATCCAAATAAGGAATGGCGTATAAAGCTTATCTGTCACATTGTCAATGGCCTCTTCCTCTAGTTGAGAACTGAGATTCTCTGGAAGAAGAAGACAGCCTCTTCACTGTGAGGATCATGAGAAAGACTTAACGCAACAATGATAAGGCACCTCTTCATGCTGGCTGACCTCCTGAGGAACAGAAAGAAAGCCTCCCACTGTTCCCAGGAAGACTTTCCATTCTACGAAACTCAGAAGGAATCTTTCCCAGAATCTTGCTTGCCACCTACAGTACAATAAGCAGCAGAACTCGCCAGCAAGGATGACTTCCAGGCACAAAAGATATTTATAATGTTTAATTTCCCTTTCCCTGGGGACCCATCTGTATTCCAGGGAAATTGCTGAGGTCTCAGTTTCCCTACAATGGTTCCTCCTCTCTTTGATACACCCCCTGCATTTCAACTACTTCCTGTTCCTGAAGGTAATCGTCTTGTGGACGGGGCTCTTGGGAACTGCCAGGGCTAAAGAGCTGCTCTTCCAAGAACCAGCCTCCGAGGCCATACTGTTCTTCATGGGCTCTGACTTCTTCAGCTGACAGGTGACTTGCTCCCAAAACAAACTCTGCAAACCTACCAAAAAAATATTTTAAACAAGGTTTAACATTAGCAGATAATGTGTTTTCTTGGGTATTCTTACAACCCTTTAATTAAATTTGCCTTTGTGTCAGTCTGGAGTGGCATTCAAAGAGCATTCATAGTGGGAATAAAAAATTGTAGATGTTTATGTGACTGCAGGAGAAATGCATTCTGGGAAGCATCAGAAAACATATCAATATGGAAGATGGTCAAATGTATTAGCTTCACTCTATTTCCTTTCCTTTTTCTTTTTTTTTTAGATTTTTAGGCAATTGGGGTTAAGTGACTTGCCCAGGGTCACACAGCTAGTAAGTGTCAAGTGTTTGGTCTGAGGCTGGATTTGAACTCAGGTACTACTGATTTCAGGGCTGGTGCTCTATCCACTGCACCACCCCACTGCCCCCTTTTTCTTATTTTTTAAAAAATAAAAAGTAAACTCTAAACCAACAACACACAGCAGATAAAGAGATGGCCTTGAAATCATGACGACCAGGGCTCAAGCCTGTCCTCTGTTATACACTGGCCATGTGAACCTGGGCAAGTGATTTGATTTCAGTGACCCCAGGAAAATCTCCAAGAGCAAGAGCCAGTCTGCATTAGGACTTTTTCTTTTGGGAAAGTTCCTAATACCAATTAAGCCTCAGTCCATATTTTTCTTTAATTTTAATGTTTTGGCATTTAATACGAGCCAAAGAAATAAGGGAAAGTTGGAGGAAGGGAAGGGAGGGGAAAAGAATGATTCATTGTGAATTTGGAGATAATTTCCAATATTTCAGGAAGGTAGCACTCTTTATATCCCACCAACTTTACTTCTTTCCACCTGAAAGCTGTTTTTTAAAATCTTGCCTATAAAGTAGATCAAACTAATATTTAACCTGCCTGGAACAATTCTGTCGATAAGTCAAGGAATCTGAGGAAGATGGAGTGAAAAGGGGGCAGCTAGGTGGCGCAGCGGATAGAGCACCAGTCCTGGATTCAGGAGGACCTGAGTTCAAATCCGGCCTCGGACACATAACACTAGCTGTGTGACCCTGGGCAAGTCACTTAACCCCATTGCCTAGCCAAAAAAAACAAAACAAAACAAAAACAAGAATGGAGTGAAGAATGCATCTGCTCTCTTCTCCTTTGAATAGAAAGTAAAACACTAGGCATGCTAATCTAGTCTCCATTTTCTATCTTAAGTGGCTATACTCCACAAACCACAATGTTCACAGAAGTCTAACCAACCCAATGACAACCGTTGGCTTAGAAGCCAGAAGGAAACTTAGACCATCTAGTCTAATCCCAGTGCCTAAGTAACGAAGAAAGCTTTGAAGAAGGATGGAATTTTCTTCTACCTTTTCGGGGACTGCAGTCTGGATACCGTTAACCACGATGGGAAGTCTGCGCTGTGGCAAAACTCGCGCAACCTCTGCAACGCTTTGGCTGTCTCGATTTCCCCTTGCTCCCTATATTCTTCTTCAGTAATGTGCTTGATCACCAGCCTCTTTGATTGATAATACTCCTTGACTTTTCTAAAATGACAAAAGCGAGCCACGTATTTAAAATGGAAAATGCAAATTATATATAACTTCTACTATTTTTAATGACCTGTATAACATTTTTGGCATAATATAAAGTGCTAGGACTAGAGTCAGAAAGACCTAGGTCTGGATTCTATGAGTTAGTTGATGAGTTTCCTCATCTGTAAAATGAGAATATTGAAAGACAGGTGGCACAGTGGATAGAGTGTTGGGCCTGGAGGCAGGAAGACTCATGTTCCTGAGTTCAAATCTGGTCTCAGAAGCCCTGGGCAAGTCACTTAACCCTGTTGGCCTCCGTTTCCTCATCTATAAAATGAGCTGGAGAAGGAAATGACAAACCACTCCAGTATCTTTGCCAAGAAAACCCCAAATGGGGGCAAGAAGAGTCAGACAAAACTGAAAAAGATTGAAAAAATGAGAATAACACCTATAGTACCTACTCCACAGAGGCTCAAACACCATCGAAGACTTTGTAAACTTTACAAAGCTATATAAATAAAGGTCAACTCTTATTCCAAATACTTGCTTGAACAGTTAGGATCAGTCTTCTGAAGTTCAAGAAATGCATCTGTCAGTTCTATTAATTCTGCCTTTACAATCTTGTGTGTGTGTGTGTGTGTGTGTGTGTGTGTGTGTGTGTGTGTGTATGTGTGAGTCACGGACCCCTTTGGATGTCCAGTAAAACCTATGGACTTCTTTTCATAATGTTTTTAAATGCACAGGGAGTTCCAAAAGTCTTCATGCTTAAAACTTCAATGAGACTTTGGGGACACCCTGTCAAATAAAAATACATAGTAGATTACAAACGAAGCCAATTATATCGAAATACAGTTGTCAAAATAGTTTTAAAAAGTTTACAGACTCAAGGTTAAGAATCCCTGCTTTCCACTATCTATAGTTTTCCTTTTTTTGTTATCATCTTAAGATTTTCAGGGTCTCAGACCAGATACAGAGTTTGGGTCCTCCTTATATTTTTATCTCTACCACCACCACCACCACCACCATTGTAGCCTAACCTGTAAACAAATGAGGTCTTCAGGGTTTTCATTTTTGTCCTTTAAGCACAGATTCAGAAAACATATATTTTCCTTCCTCTAGGATTTTTCATCATCATGAATTTAAAATAATGGCTTTTCTACATCTGATCTGATTCTTCCCTGGAGTATTAAAGAAATAGGCCAGCAGCACTAGGGAAATGGGACACTCAGGAAATCTTTATTCAGGAAACAAGGAGGTAGTAGGAAAAAATATTGCACCACAAGTTCCTTAAATCACATATGCTTAAGAAAAAGGCGGGGGGGGGGGGCACCAGCTAGAGGATGTTGTGGGGTATAGCCTCCACCTAGTGGTAGTGAGTCTGTGTAATGTCAGTGGAGGGGAGAAGGGGCCTAGATGTCTGTGTGTCCTCCACATCTAGGTGGTGTAAGGCCACAATCTAGTTTGCTTGAAGGGCACAGTCTTTAAAAATTAGCAATGGTCAGGTTTTAGAAAGTTACCTATTACATTAATCAATGAATTTTTTCAATGTTCCCTTTGTTTCCTTCAGACTTAACAAAGACTAATTTATCTTTTCTCTTTTTCCTTTTTGTAAGTACATGATAATCATTTGCTTAAAAAAATAGCCCATGGTTGGTAGGGGAAGTAGGAAGGAGAAAAAAAAATGCTTGATAATTCTTATATTTAACTTTTTTTAAAAAAAAACCTCTATTTCAAGACAACCTTTAAATAGAACACAGCAAAGCACAAGATTATCCTATAGGTTCTCATGTTTTCTCCTGGGCTTTCCAGAAGCAGTACATATAATTGGTGTTGTTAAGTTGTTTCAGTTGTGTCTAATTCTTCATGGCTCCCATCTTGGGTCTTCTTTGCAAAAATACTGATGTGGTTTGCCATTTCCTTCTCCAGATCATTTTACAAATGAGAAAACTTGAGGCAAACAGGATGAAGTGACTGATCCAGGGTCACACAGCTAGTAAGTGTCTGAGGCTGCATCTGATTTTGGGTCTTCCCAATTCCAGGCCCAAAACTCTATCCACCGAGTCATCTAATTGCTCATATATAATTAGCTAAATGAAAAACTGAATAAACATAATGATCAAAACCATCCCTAAATAATTAATGGGAGGTAAGGTAAACTACTGTAATGTCAAAGGGACTAACAGTCCTATATTTTAATCTTACACATTTCACATATTGGAATAATCCTAGTGGGGGAAAATTTGTCAGGTCAGTATTTTCATAGAAAGGTAGCTATTTCTATGTAAGATATTATAATAATGTATTTATTCAGACTTATATTTTTATTGGTGCTAAATGGCCTGAAGTTCCTGTAAAAGAGATACAGGCATATATGTGTGTATTTATAGACTAGAGGACAGATCTGTGAGTTCACTGGGAGAGGGAACTCTTAGATGGAGGAAACACCCTCCAACAACATGGGCCAGCACCACCTCTACAACTATAGTCTTAAGAAAATTGCTCAGAGCATTGAGAAGTCACTTGGCCAGACTGGTATGTCCACACAGAGAAGATGTGTCAAGAAACAGGACTGGCCTAGGGTGTTTCTGGCTCTGAGGCTGTATATGTAAGTGTGCGTGTGTGTGGGAGATTTCATCCATCAGTAGCTATATCCATCCATTCATCATCTATTTAGCTATACATCTATCTATCTACCTACCTACCTACCTATCTACCCGTCTTCTCTATTTTTCTATCTATTTGGAGGGAGACAGAAAACAGGAAAGAGAGAAAACAGGAGAGAGAAGCAGTGTGGTATAAGGGATAGATATGGCTTTGGAATTTAGAAGACCTGGAGGTTCAAGTCCTACCTAAGATATATCCTGGCTGCATGACCCTAAGCAAACTCCTTAACCTCTCCTAACCTCCAGCAACTCTTTGAGACTGACTATAAATTACAGAACAGTTGCTGATCTGCATTCATAGAGGGAGTTTTCTTACTGGGAGTCAGGTCTAACACACACACACACACACACACACACACACACACACACAGAACCTTTCACTACCTTCCCACCCACTGCATCTATTTTCCCCCTACATGCCCTAGCCCAGTAGTTCTCAATTTTTTTGGTCTCAGGACCCCTTTGCACTCTTAAAAACTACTGAAGGCCTCCAAAAGAGTTTTTGTGTATGTGGGTTATATCTATTACAAGTTAAGACATCTTAGTATTATTATGAAAATAGTATTGACCTGGCAGATCCCCTGAAAGGGATTTTGGGGACCCACGAGGGGCCCTTGGATCATACTTTGAGAACTGATGCCCTAGACTAAGGATAGAGCTCCTGATGTTCTTTTGATCCCATGGGAACATGGAAGCTGATGGTAGGGGATGCACCAGCCCCCTTGTCCTTCTTTGCCTGAATCACTGATTCATTTAATTTTAGAACTGAAAGGGACCATTGCTATGTTGTTCAGTCATGTTTGATTCTTTGTGCCCCCATTTGGAGTATTTGAGGCAAAGATATTAGAGTGGTTTGCTATTTCCTTCTCCAGCTCATCTGACAAATGAGGAAACTCAGGCAAACAGGGTTAAGTGACTTGCCCAGGGTCACACAGCTAGGAAATATCTAAAGCTGAATTTACCAAAAAAAAAAAAAAAAAAGCTGAATTTAAACTCAGGAAGATGAATCTTCCTGAGTCCAAACCCAGTGCTCTCTATCCACTGTGCCACCTAGCTGCCATAAAGAATATCTAATCTAATTTCATTTTATAAATGAGCAAACTGAGGGCCAGAGAAATCCACAGATTTGTCCAAGGTCACAAGTTAGAATGGGAGAGTCAGCACTGGAACCTACTTCTTCTTAATGTACATCCTATATTCTTTTAATCACAACCAAGTGATTAAAGATCAAACTTAAAATTCAAAGGCAAGGGACTACTAAATGCTCAATTCTTTGCAAAATGAATCTGCCTCTACTAGTTTCTCCTTCAGAAAGATACATGTTGATCTTAAAGCAGTCAACAGTTCTAAGCACTAAGGAACTGCTGAAGAAAAGATTTCAAATAACTATCGTCGCTGCATTCTGGATGAGACACAATTCCTTAGTAAACAGAGAAATACACTGAATAAAAAGGCAAGCACTGGACAGAATCAAATTCCTGCATTTCCTCCCCCACTTCCTGCTGTTTTAGAGTAAAAAGATCAAAGAAAGAGAAGGGCAGGGAGAATAATTATGCTGATGAATTGGTTCTTTGCCACACACACACACATACATATATGTAGGTGTGTTTATGGTAGCACAGTGCGTAGAACTCTGGACCTGAAGTCAGGAAGACTCATCTTTCTGAGTTCAAATGTCTCAGACATTAGCAGTGTGACCCCGGGCAAATCACTTAACCCTGTCTGCCTCAGTTTCCTCATCTGTAAAATGAGCAGAAGAAAATGCCAAACCACTTCAGTATCTTTGCCAAGAAAACCCCAAATGGGGCCACGAAGAGTCAGACATGACTGAAAAACAAACATGTATGTATATATGTATACTTACACATATATACATATATGACATAGTGATATAATATATGTTACATATGTGTGTATTTTCAAACCGTCATGGTTTATAATGTCAAATTCACTGGAGTGATATACTAACCTGCCCATACAAAAGAAAGCTCTGAATGGATAATGTAGACCCTGAGAAGAAATCAGGAGAACCATCACTGCATAGGCAACCTGGGCTGTGGTGACGCCAAAGTAAACCATGACCAAGGATAAAAGCCGCAGCGTCCACATCAAGACATTTATGCTCCTTTCTTTGACAAGCGGCCCATGTCTATAACAGGCAGCAAAACTGATTGATCCCATGGTCAGAATGTAGCCTGGGAAAGTACAAGAGGGTAGAAAAATCAGCACATGTATAGGAACCTGGAAAATGGCAGGGAAAACCTGACCCCAGGTACTACATACAAAGCACACAGGTTTGAGACAACACAATGTACATTAGTGTAATGTTAGGAAATCCGTGTTTTCACTTTCCTTTGTCAGTGCCAGATGAAACCAAACATGAAGGTAGAAAGTACATCTCTGGCTGGCTGTTCTGAGATGTGAGGCTGAATTTTATAATCATCCAAGAAGTTTTCCACGCCAGCAGAAATCTTAGTTTATTTCTCAGGTCAACCAACTTGTTACTCTGAAAGTTCTGGGTGATAACCCCCTGTGATCCCCAAGATTTTCTTTTATTTACTACGAAGGTAAAACTGCTCTTCAGAGTTGTGGGTTAACAGTAAGAGAACGAGGTGTGTCGAGTGACATGAGAATATTATTAAAATTTTACTTTGAAATAAAAATTTTCATCCTCTCTCTTATTTTCTGTGCTTTATAGATTAAAAAAAAAAATTCACCACATCAATTGATGCAGCTTGGTCCTTCTGAGGTATTATTAAATTCTCCTGTAAGAAGTTAAGTGCTTAAAGTATGCAAAAGTTTAAAAACTGAACCCAACAAATTAACCTTCTTTTTGTATGAATGCCCAAGACTATTCCCCATTCTGCACTGTGCCCCAAGTTACTTATATCAGTACTTTGGATTTCATTAGTGTAGGTAAATTCTCCCACTTCTGGTGCAGACTGCAATCTATGCCCTTGGTGGAACTGTCTGCTTGAGTTGCTTTGGTCAAAAAATGTCTTGGTGACCAACCTCATGGTGATGAACTTCTCTAAGTAGTTAGGATGGTCCTAGACAACAGATACACACTTGGGAGGCAGTGTAGTGTCATGGAAGAAACCCTGCCTATAGAATCAGAGTATCTGGGTTCAAATCCCAGTTCTGCCACCATGGGCAAGTCATTTATCCTCTCTGGTTTTCACTTTCCTCAACTGTAAAATGAGTGAGATGACCTCAAAAGTCTTCCTTCATTTCTAAATCCATGATCCCATGACAACCTGTCACTTAGGTCATATTTGGAGCCTTTCCAGATTGATAAGAATTTCCAGAACTTGTGTCAGCTGGCAAAGGCTGCCATCCTATTAGAATGTAAGCTCCTTGAGGGCAGGAATTGTTTTGGCTTTTTTTTCCTTTGCATCATAAGCACTTAATAAATGCTTGCTGTTTGATAGCCTTCAAGACCTCAGGACCACCAACACAACAGATAAGGTACTTAGTAGATTCCTTCAGTAAAGACTTTGAACAAGGTGTTTCACTTGAAACATTTCTTAGGGAGCCAGATAAGTGACAGGTATCTAAGCAGCTTTCTCATTTTTCAAAGAAGTAAAATTCAGCTTAATTTTTATTATCAGACCAGGATGTCAACAGTTGTGACTGCATAAATTGTGAACTATGATTTCATATTATGTCAATGAAAAAAAAGGACATAAAGTCACACTGAAAGAAGCATTCTGAACTACAACAAGGATTTAGGTTGGAGTTCCACTCTAATTAATATATTATATTAGTATATTAGTATATTAGTATACTGCTATATTAATATTAGTATATTAGTATATATCTATATTAGTATAGAAGTATATTAGATCACTTATGTTTTTTAGTTAACTGTTCTCAAACATTAAAAAAAAAACCTGCTTTAAGGTAGAAGATGTGTATAGGAAAATAGCCTCTGCCCTTGAGAACACATTCATACAAATCTGGCAGAACTCTTCCACTGCAATGCATCAACATGGGATCAATATCAGCATGAAAGTAACCCTAGGCTCTCAAAGTTATGCCAAATCCTGGCAAGTCCTACCCACCTTGAAAAGGGAAAGCTGCGTGCACTGCCTTGTTAATGGACTGTGTGTGTGATATCTGAAGACCAGACTAAGTTCTAGGAGAGGTTCATCCCCAGGTTCACTGCAGAGCCAGAGCAGCTCTTGGACACAGCTTCCAAAATTTTAGAAAGTTTGTGATCTGTGCTAGTGAAGGAGCTCCTCCCTCTCCATCTCCCCCTCCATGAGAGCTTGGCCCTTTAAAGTATCACAGGCTCTCAAAAACTTGCCTCTTTCTAATGTCCAAAACTATCACAAGGACAATCCCTCTGCCTACTCTTCAGTCTCACAAATACAAGAGTCTGTATGTTTCTTTCAATTTACCTACCTAATATATACGTTTTGTTTTCATACCAGAGCCACTTTATTTCTTCCATTAACTGGCATACGAGGTAAAACGAAGCAAACCAACAACCAACCATGAGGGCCCCAAAGGTGCTATACTGTGTGTGAAAGGAAAGAGATAAAGAAGGTTCCAATTTATTCATCCTTCAATGAAAACAACTGTTCCATTAGACTTCATTAGCAATTGACTGGAAAGGTATAAAGAATATAAGGATCACAATGTACCCATTGTTTACTGATGATAAAAATGTATTTTGGGGACAGCTAGGTGGTACAGTGGATAGAGCTCCGGCCTTGGAGTTAGAAGGACCTGAGTTCAAATCCGGCCTCAGACACTTGACACTTACTAGCTGTGTGACCCTGGGCAAGTCACTTAATTCTGACTACCTCACCAAAAACCAAAAAAATGTATTTTGATAGAACAAAGCCTTGAAGACTCTCCACCCAAAAGACATCCTCTAGGAGTACATCAAACTAATATAATATTCTATGAAGAATGTATCGAAAGAGCTCTTTGGTTGACAACCTTCTGATAACTCATATAAAAAAAGCATTAAAAAAATAAAGACAAATCTATAAAAGGTATTGTCACCATCATGGAGGATGTCTAAGATGGAGTCTAAATGGAAGAGAGATTCCCTAGAAAATGAGTTCCTCAAGAGGCTACTGTTTGATGACATTGTGCGGACTGTATCAAGCCCCAGATCCCTGTAAAGCCTCCTATATGACATCTATAATCACTCAAAAGAGTTTGGCCTTACTACCCACAGTTTTCTATAGATGAGGAATATCTATTCTCCAGGCTATGATACATAAAACTGGTTAGGGTTAGTGAATCACCAACATATAATGCTGATCCCATGACTAGCTCCATGTTGGTGACTTCGCACTGGCTACCCCCCAGGCCTGGAACACTCTGTCCCTTCATCTCTGCCTCTTATGTTTCCCTCGTTTCCTTCAGGTCTCAGTTCAAATTCCATCTTCTACTAAGAAGCCTTTCCTCGTCTCCCCAGCTGCTAGGTTTTTTCCTTTCAGATTTCTTTTAAGAAAACGGTATCATCTTGCATGTACCTAGATAGTAAGATGTTGTCTCTGCCATTAGAATGTGAGCTCCTTGAGAAGACAGGGACCAGATTTTTTTTTTTACTTTCTTTATATCCCCAGCATTTAGCACAATGCACGGCACATAGCTTACTAAATGTCTGTTGATTAAGTCACTGACTTAAGTTATCTTGGGGAGACACTGCAGATAGACGATGAAATGGGCCCAGACTGAAGAAGAGAAGAAGCACAATCTGGATTGCTCCCACCCATTACACAGGGATTTTAATGACTTCAAGCTTCTTTTTGAAACAAAGATTTAACTTTTTTAAACAATATTCTTCAGGTGGTACCACATGGTTGTGAGCCATGGACTATCACAATCTCCAAAACCAAAGGGCAACAGATGGCACCCAGCAGGCACAAACAGGCTATATAACACATCAACTATGAAGAGTTAAATGGGAGAAATGGCATAAAAGATGTCATCAGAGAAATGTACATAATCATATAGGCACAACGAAGGGTAACTGCCAGATAGTCCATGTACTCCATTAGTACCTAGAGGAATGCCACCAGCACACTGGGAGAATGACCTATGTTGTAGGATTTATGGATGAGATTACCCCTGGATGAGAAAGTAAAGATGGTATGTGGTCTGCATTGTTGGGGGAGTGCCTACAATAACGAAATTATGGATCCCCTGATGTCTCAACCTAAACTAGGATAGAGGCAAAGTTTTATCAGCTTTGATGAGGCAGCTGCTGTCTGTTAGGGCTTTGACTGAACTAACTATAACATGGCCACAGGGGCGCAGACTTAGATTGGCCTTAGACCTTAGAAACTGCCTAGTCCCTGTATACTTCATTTGGGGTCTGGGAACTTGTCTGTTTTTTTCTTTAGATATTTGGATAACTATATTTCAATATAATTGCATTGTAGTCAATAACTGTAATCTTATGTAATTTATTTTATGAAATTAAAACATTATCCTGAGAAGGAATCCATAGATATCATCAGACTGCCAAAAGGATCTGTGACACAGAAAACGTTAATAACCCCTGGATCTCATCCAATCCCTCATTTTACAGATGAGGACAATGCGGCCCGGACAAGTGGAGTGATTCATCCAATATCAAACAGGGAATAAATGGAGGAGCCTGGATTTGAACTCAGGTTCTTTGATGTCAAATCCTTTTCTCCCCCATAACAATGAAGACATGTTGATTGCTAAATGAACACATACCAAGATGGTATGAAAATGTGCTGTGACCTACTACCAAGGAAAACATGGCCTGGTGTGGGAAAACTGTAATTTAAAGCCTTGAAGTGATGATGTTGTGCTATGCCCCACACTTTTCAATATGGGAGAGAATTTTAGTGTGGGATTTAATTTTACCTGAAGGGGGAAAGAAAAGGATTACCTGAAAGATAGTGTCAAAAGGAATATCAAAACTATAAACTTATTTCAGTTGCTGAAAAATAATGAGATTTTCTACTATATATGTTGAAAGTCCACACATTTTAAAGAGCTTCTAGAATAAGGCAACACAGTATGGAATTAGGAACTGGTAGGATCAAATGAATGAAATAACCTTTCCCCACCCAAGTCCTGAAGCTCAGCACATCAAGACTTCCATTTTTAGTTTTATAAATAGCACACCTACCTTGGGAATGTATCTTCTCATGAACAGCAGGAAAAAGACTAAGGTCATAAGAATGCCCAGCACAGTTCCAGCAGAATAATAGAAAACAGTACTCCTGTCAAGGACAAACAGTCACATACTATTTACCTGATAACAGTTATTTTCAAGTGTAAAACACAGACATTTGAACCATACTCAGGTAGTCAAAAATAAAATCCTAAAAGAAAAACTAAACACTCGAGAGGTGGATCATATTAAACACATCTCTCTTTGTTTAACAGGAATTTAACCGGTGACTGAAATTTACTATTATTTGCTTGCCTTTGCAAAAACCCTGTGATTTTATATGTTAAATAGAAATATATTATTGATGCATAACATAGCACATATTTAAAATGAAATATGAGACAGAGTTAAAATTTATAACTGATTAACGTGTTAAGCAGGATGGGCATCTAAGAACTAAAATATTAGCAGGGAAAGTTCTTTCACTAGAAATGACTGAGAATTGGGGTCATAATGTAATTAGACCCAATTATGCAGAGCTCAGGGTTCTGGCAAACTCAGTCATCTATTACATACCCCCAAACACAAAGCAAAAAGATCTTTCAGTAGAGAGGGGAAAAAGAATGGTAGTTATCACACAGTTTATCTTTTTATTCCATAGGATGGATGGGCATGGAATCCATCTCAACTCTACTGATTTAAGACCTATGAACTATATGAAATAGGCATCAGATAGAAGCCATAAGGACACACTGACAGGGAGTGATACCCAACTATGGAGAAGATAGAAGAATTACAGGAAATACACAAAATAATTTTAAAAGCAAAGCTCCGGGGGGGGGCAGCTAGGTGATGCAGTAGATAGAGTACCGGTCCTGGAGTCAGGAGGACTGAGTTCAAATCTCGCCTCAGACATATGATACTCACTAGCTGTGTGACCCTGGGCAAGCCACTTTACCCCGATTGCCTTGCCAAAAAAAAAAAAAAAGCACAGCACCATGGAACCATTTTTGGAAGGGTCCAAAACCCCTAAAACAATGAACAGATTGTGAAAATATACTATACAATAATTGATGTTCATTATGACCTTGAATCAGTAGGAAAAGTTAAACTATGTGCTCTGTTTGATAAAACAGGAAAATAAGCAATCATCTGACAAAGACTTACCTCCAAAATGGTTAAATTTTTGAAAATTGGTCTTTTAAGAGATAAGCTTCAATTATTTATACAATATATTTAAATGGAACAGCTCCTTTCCTGATAGGCAAGATAAAAAGAGTGAAGGCACAGAGGTGGTGAAGAAATTTTCATCCTTTACTCAAATAAGTTTTGGCTGCACTGTGTTGTCACAAACAAAAGCTTTAAACTTGGATTCAGGGGCAGCTAAGTGGTGCAGTGGATAAGAGCACCAGCCTGGGATTCAGGAGGACCTGAGTTCAAATCCGGCCTCAGACACATAACACTTACTAGCTGTGTGACCCTAAGCAAGTCACTCAACCCCACTGCCTAACCAAAAAAAAAAAAAAAAAAAAAAAAAAGCAAAAACTTGGATTCAAAAAGAATTAAGTTCAAGTTACCATTCTGACACTTAATATCTTTATGATCATGGGCAAGTAATTTTATCTCTCTGAATGAATGAATGAGTACTAAGGGAAGACTTGCAAATGAGCAAAAATAGGAAACATAGCTCTCTAAAGTACATAGAATCAACCTCAAAGTCATTGTGAGGCTCTGGATGTGACATAATATATCCATACCTGGCATAGTGACTTGTATACAGTTGGCACTTAATAAAAATTTGCTGAATTTAAGTGAATTTTGGAAAATATGAAATTGATGAAATAAAGATAACTGAAATTTTTAAAAGTTCCAAGTTATGCTTGCTGATAAAATTAATAAAGAAGCTTCACTTACCTACTCAAGGTCTTTGCTTTAAAGAACAGGAATATCCCTATCACAAACACAAGAAAGAGTTTTGCATCCACAACTAAAAATAAAAAAAAAAAGAAAACATCAAGATTTGGGGCAAAATGTATTCAAATGTTACCTCATAAGTGTTTAATCTAGATAGTTAATTATGATAAAATGATGGATTAAATATTATCATTATCATGTAAATTTAAAAAAAAACTCAACTTACTGTTTCGATTCACCCTCAATGTATAGGCAAATATTTTTTTGGCAGACTTCACATAGAAACACATGGACTTCTTATATGGATTAATATTAATGGTTATATCATTAGATTCCTTTGGTTTCCCAAAGATATGAATTGTACACTTGATAAAAGCAAGGATAGTTTCTGGATGCTGACAATTATGTTCTTCTATGGGAAAGACAATGCTGAGCATGTCTGAGCTGGTAATTTTCACCTATCAAAAAAGGAAGAGAGAGAGACAGAGGGAGGGATAAAGGGGGGGGAGAGGGAAAGAGAGAGAAAGAGAGAGAGAGTGAGTTGTCAGTTTCTTTAAAACAGAAGGCAACAGTAATGGAGCATTACAAAGAGAATCCAGGATCAAATAATTAAGAAGAAAAAACATATAGTAACGTAACACTGAAATCCTGGGTATTTTCCATGGGCAGGTGCTTTAATAAGAGGACATACACTGCAGCCAAGCATTCCCTTTTCTGATAATTTTGCTAATCAATACAGCACCAGGTAATAAAAGATGGGAGGCATTTGTTAGGTCTATAAGAGAGCAGGATTCATGTTTTTTTAATAGAATAAAAAGCAGAGATTGGATCATTTTTTTAAGTAAAGAAAAAAATACCAGTTCTCCCTTCCTCCCCTTGCCTACTAGAAAGGGATCAGTATCAGATCTCAGATCCTTCCTGACTCATCTGCTATAGAGCAAAGCAGATGGTGATGGACAGCTCCATAAGAATTAACTCATGATAATTCCACTGCTGCCAATGTATGCTGTGTTCTCTGCTGTTCTTCAGCACTGGGAATAAGGCAGACCCAGTGATGAGAAGAGTGCCAGCCGCAAAATACTCAAGTTTGCTTGCTAACTTGGCAGTTCATCTTCAACATCAAAATGCGGTTCTATTACAAAATCCGTTTTCTGTTTTTGTATTTTACCTCTGCGTTTATGATTTAAAGGAAGAGCCTTACCTGGATGGTTGACCAAATGTATTTCCATTCCATTTGGGCAAGTTGGTTGTAGCAGTAACAGACTGATTGGGAACTCTTAATTACATCCATTTCCTCCAGAACTTTGCATGGTACTGGGAGGGGGAGGAAGAGAGATAAACCAGGAACTGAAACAAAATCAAACTCAATTGTTTAAGACATGTTCCCTTTTATTCCCTTGGCTTTGGGAACCGTAACATTTCACATACCTTTTGACCTACCTACTTCATTTCACTCTTCACTCTCTCCTCTCCGGGTTTTCATGACATTGCTCTCTTATTCTCCTCCCACCCTGCCTAACTACTCCTCCTCAAGCTCCTTTATTGGTTCATCATTCAGGTCATGCCTCTAAACTGGGTGTTATTCAAGGCTCTTTCTTAGGTCCCCAACTCTTTCTTCTCTACATTCTCTCTTGGTGTATTCATTAGCTCCCATAGGTAAAATGATCATTTCTATGCTGATGACTCCCAGTTTTTTTAATATACACAGCCCTAGTCTCTTCCTTGAGCTTCAATTCTTCATCCGTTTCTTGCACAAGGCACTCCATCACCTGGCTCACCCCCTTTGCATTAGCTGTCCTCCATACCTGGAACATACTTCCTTTCTTACCTTGACCCCACAGAATTCTTCTTCTCCTTAAAAATGCAAGTCAGGTATCACCATCTACGTGAAACTTTTCCTAAATCTCTGAACTCATTACCTTATATTTAACTACTTTATATTAATTTGTTTTATACTTCTATTTATATTTATATATTTCCTATTGTCTTTCCCCATTCAGATGTAAGGTCTTTGACAGTAGGGATGTTCTCATTTATTGTATTTGAATCCTCAGCAACTAGCCAGGGTTTAATAAAAACTTATTGATTGATTGACTACAAATTCCTGTGCTCGTTAAATACATCAATCTTTCCTAAGCACACCATGTTTTCCCCATTTTGTTGTGAAAAATGATGGTTAAGATTAATGACAGGAAAAAAAAATCTTTTTGGTTCATAGATGTTGTCCAGATGCATTTGTCTACCATTACTGTTCATTCATGCCAATAGAGCCTTATTATTCACATTACTCAATTCATTGTCATATAACACCATGTTTTTCTAATATGAGAATCTGTACTATGTCATAGGCACAACTAATCACTAAAATTGCTACTCTAATGATTAGCCAACTAGATCTACTTTTCACTTCTTCTTTCTAGTAGTCTGTGGTAACACAACATATTTTTAATCTATACTTATATCTTATCTTTGAAAACGTGTCAAAATTAATATTTCCTTTTTAAATCAAGGGATTTCCTTAACTGGGCAGTATTATTCGGAAGGATGTGACTACTAATTCTATTCAGTTATCTGTATGGTTGATACACGGTGGGGAGACTCTCTACAGAGGCTTATGGAAAGCCACCAACAAGAATTGTATAGAGGGAGAAGGTCTGTGGACGTGCTGCAGACCGTACTCACAAAAAGTGTCTAAATTCATGAGATCAAACCCATATCTTCCTGATTCCAAGTCAGGAAGATACTTTCCCTGGAAATGATAACAGGTCCACAGAAAGCTTGGCATGCAACTTGGCATGTAACTCAAATGAAACACATTATCACTAAAGCATTCCTAGGCAAAACTGCTGGTCCAAGTCAGAAAATGAAACTAATTTATTTGTATGTCTACACCAATTTATTTTAATCATCAGTAACCGGATTTGCCAGATTTGGATTCAAATCAGACCTTGAAGCACTATTTAAAGAATTAGAAATGGCTAGAAGACAGTCAATAAACATCTGTTAAGTGCCCACTATGTACCAGGCACTGGGCTAAATAGCTGGGATACAAAATGAGGCAAAAGACAGTTGATATCCTCAAGGAACTCACAACGTAACATGGGAGATAACAAGCAAACAAATATATACAGATAACCTACATACAGGAAAAATAAAAAATAATTAATAGAAGGAAGCCAACTGAATTAGAGGGGTTGGGGATGGGATTTTATTTGGGACTTAAAGAAAACCAGTAGACATAGATGAGGAAGGAGAATGTTGCAGGCAGGGGCAACCGTCAGAGAAAATATTCAGGAGCCAAGAGATGAAATATTTTGTTCCTAGAACAGTAAGGAGGCCAGTGTCACTGAATCAAACAGTACATGATGGGGAGTAAGGTGTAAAATGACTGGAATGGTAAGAGGGGGCTAGGTTATGAAAGGCTTTGAATGCCAAACAGAGCATTTTGTATTTGATCCTGGAGGTAACAGAGAGTTTGCTGAGTAGGGGAGTGACATGGTCAGATCTGTGCTTTAGGAAAATCACTTTGATGGTTAAATGGAGAATGGATTGGAGTGGGGAGAGACCTAAGGCAGGCAGCAGTGAGGTAATGAGGGCCTGCACCAGAGTAGAATCAGTGTCAGAGGAGAAAAAGAGGCTTATTGGAGAGATGGTTAAAGGTGAAACTGACAGGCCTTGGCAACAGACTGGATAGGAGGGATGGTAGATAAGTCAAGGACAACACCTAGGTTTTGGGTCTAAGAGACTGGGATGATGGTACTGCCCTCAACAATAATAAGGACGGGGGAGGAGAGGAGGGTTTAGGGGAAAAAACTATGAGTTCTGTTTTGGACCTGTTTAGTTTAAGATGTCTGCTGAATTTCCAGTTCAAAATGTCTGAAAGGCAATTGGAAATGAGAGACTGGAGGTCAGCAGAGAGCTTGGGGCAGGATAGCAGACTTGAGAATCTTCAGTATAGAGATGATAATTAAATCCACAGGAACTAATAAGATCACCAAGTGAAGTAGTATAGAGGAAGAGGAGAAGAAGGCCCAGGACAGAGCCCTGAGGGTCACGTAAAGCTAGAAGGCATCAACTGAAGGGGATCTGCAAAGGAGATTGAGGAGGGGTAAGATAGATAGGAGAAGAGAATGGTGTCCCCAATAGAAAGAAGGAAGTATCAAGGAGGAGAGTGTGATCAACAGTGTCAAACACTGCAGAGAGGTCAAGGAGGATGAGGAATGAGAAAAGGCCATAGGATTTGGCAATTTAACTTTGGAGACAGCTATTTAGGTGGAATGGTGAGGTCAGAAGTCAGATTGTAAGAGAGTGAGAAGAAAGAAAGTGGAGGCAGGCCCTTTTGAAGAGGTTAGCCATAAAGGCCAGAAAAGATAAAGAACAATAGTGGACATGGGTATGTTTGTAGGTAGGGGAGAAAGAGCCAGTAGACAGGAAGAGATTGAAAGTGAAAGAGTGGAATGACAGAGAGGGAATCTGTTGGAGGAGATGGGATGGAACAGGATCACTTGAGCAGGTAAAAGAGTTAGCCTTGGTAAGGAATGAGGCCATGTTAACTTGTGAGAAAAGGATAAAGGAGGGGATAGGCATGTGAGTGATAGGAAATGAGGAATAAGGTAAAAGAGGGGAGCTCACAGTGAAAAGCCTCCATTTTTTCTGTGAAACATGAAGCAAGGTTCTCAGCTGAGAACCATTACATGGGGAAGTGAAGGGGGAGAGGAAAATAATTGGGAAGACAAGGATGCTAGATCCTAGGGAATGCAGAGCTGAATGGCTTATGGGCTCTAGTGGCATAGGTTAGCGGTAAGATCCCACTGTGTTTATTGTTTATTAATTCCGCCTGATCTCCCAAAAGGTATTGATTCACAGAGCAAAATACAGCCTTAAAGGCTCTCCACCTCTCCTAAGGAGTCTTTCATGCATGTCACATAACATTCTTTATTAAGAGAAACCAGAGATAACTGCTCAAGTACCCTCTGATTACTGTCAAGTGAGATGGTGTAATGTATACAGCCCAAAAGCATTTGTTCACCATTGCTTTTGTATCAAGGTCCCAAATGAAAGAGAAATTCCCTATAGATGAGAAGGATTTCAAGATGCTCTTGTTTGCAGATGAAATTGAGCTACACCAAGCTTCAGAATATAACAGCACCTCCTCAAAGAGATCCACGATTATTCAAAGGAGATTGACCTAAAATTCATACGGGAAAAATCAAACGGGTGAAAAACGTCTATTGTCCAAATTGTGATATGCAGTTGGTCAGTCTGGTGAATTAGTATGCCAGTATATATACATATGTGCACACACACACACACACACACACACACACACAAAGAGAGAAATACCAATACACATACATTTGGTAAAGATGGACAACGATTTGGAGCTTGGAACTGTGATATAAGAAAGAGGGTGGGGTGGACTTTATTTGGGAAATCACACAGTGCTTTTAACTGTCCAAAGTTGCTCTCTGAAGCAAAGATTCCACTTTTTAATACCAATGTTTTCCCAATAATGCTCTATGATTCTAAGTCTTAGATCATCAGTCTTAGAGAAAATAGTAAGCCCTACTCTTGAGAGGTGAGCTACATGTATAATAAGTATCCTATTGCTTGCCTTCTCAATGAGTGAAGGAGGGGATGGAGGGAAGCAGAGGATTTGGAATTGAAAATGAAAGAAAACTAAACTAAAAAAAACTAAAAATGAAAGAAAAAAAAGCAACATCTGACTGGAAAAGGAATCGAGCCAGTAGTCTGCACAACTGAGGGATAACAGATAGACAGTCCAGTTACTCCCTTAGTACTCACAAAACATCCAAAGACCTATATATAGGAAGGCCAACAGTACATTGGGTAGATTCTTTGTAGAAAAACATGCAGAAAAATTACAAAGGGGAGAAAATTAAATTAATTCTATATCATTTTATAATTGATTCTATTGCATAATTAATTAACCCTGTTCTGTAATGCTGCCCTATTTTATATGATTGCTCAAAGCCACATTTCTTTGTCTCTCTGCCTATGAGATAAGTTTAAAGTTCAGTTCTCCAGAAAATCATTGTTTTATTCTTGCCTCAAGGAAATCTGCTATCCTTGAGGGATGCAGGTGGACATTAGGGAGTCTGGTTCCCTATTTTTAACCTTGCAAGTGGACTTAAACATTGAACATTTCTTGGCCAAAGGAGTTTAACTACTTTTCTGAGTTAATTAAAAGAAAACTTGTTATCCCTCAAAACTTCACCAACTGAAAAACTCCATGACATCCATCTGTTGTCTTTGAAGGCCTACAAGCTGACCTGGTACATTTCTATAAGGTA